CACTTGACACGTGGCAATGTCAAATAGCTATTGAATGAAGTTAATAAAGATTTGGGGTACTCCCCAAAAGTGGGAAGACTTCGCCAAACGGCAAGGATCCACCAAAGATTTGGGGTACTCCATATCACTGATTTAGCTTCTGAATCACTTCACAGTCAGAGGCGCCTTAGGCCCTAACAAAGTCTGTGAAATCGAGGCAGGCGTTTGGCTACCATTCCATGCTCTGCCCGGCATCGATGCGAGGTGTTTCAATTCGACCTGCACATGATTTGCCTTTCCTGAACCCAGTTTGTTTCTTGCGGAGTTCCATATCCAGTGCATCTTTTATTCTCTGCAGGATGACATGACTTAGTGTTTTGCTTGGCATTATTCCGCGCCACTTCCTGCAGGGGCGGAAGTTGCTCCCCTTTGGCAATTTGACAAGGTGGCCTTTCTACCAATCAGTAGGTGCTTTTCCTTCAAAGCTTTTCACAATAATAGTGTGATCATTTCCTCTACGACCTTCGGATCCGTTTTCGGTGCTTCAGAAGGAGTTCCGTCTGGTCCTACTGCCTTCCTGAACTTCAGTAGCTTAATTGTGTTCACGACTTCTTTTCTGTAGGATATTAGTCCACTAGTAGTTCTGTAGACCTTGGTAGTGTTTCTGAACAATTTGGAGGTGATGGTTGGTTCAAGGTCCCTTTGAAGTGTTCAGTCCATTGTTTTCTCGCTTCTCCTCCGGTAATTAGGTCCTCCTGACCATCATTTATTGGTTTCATTTATATTGATCTGTTCTGGCTTAAAGACCTGGTTTCCTGAGGTCTCTTTTACCTGCAGCCTGTTCTAGCACTCTTCTTTACTGATTTATGTAGTGCATTGTACATTGAACTCAGCTTCTCTTACTGCTGTCCATCTTTACGTGGACTCACCATCTGTTTCCCTGTCCCCCTGAGTTCTATTAGCTTGTGGCTGTATTAACTACTTTAATAGACAAAAACATACCATATGTGTATATACACATTCACAATACACATGAAATTATTCTAGATTGGTTGTCATTTACACTTATCTGATTAGTTGTACACACTAGCATATTTGGTTGTAATGGGTTCAGGCTTGTCCAGCATATTATCTCGTCCACATAATGACACAAATTTGAATTTGAAACACAAAATTTACTTCTGGAGGCAGTGGTTTAAAAGTTTGATCCTAATTCACACCGCTTCCCTGCAGTAACCACCCTCTAAAAATATTTTATTACACAATGTCCACAGGTATATTACCGTTTACGGAGTGGGGTTTTGCATTAAGGCGTTTTATTAAGTGGTCGTAAACCAAATTTTCCATGGCTATTTGAGACTGCTTGTTGTGGTACTAAGTTTTGCCTGTCAGTATCCCTGAGGATGGGAGAATGGAACTCTCTTTTCACTCGGAGAGTTCACTTAAACTCCGGAAACGATCCCACAGATACTTTTCGGGCTGCTCTTCAAGATCTATGCCTTCACAATCCCAGTGTTTTTCTGACCTGAGCACATATGGCTTGCTTTGAGCTAATTGTGGATTAAGAGTATTGCGCTTCCACTTGTAGGTTAGTTGTAGAGACTGATCAGCCTGAAAGAGAGGTGTTACTTTACGAGTCAATTGATTATCTGGTTCGGAATTGAAGGTTGCAGCCGTTTCCGTGCCAGGTCAGACGCTATTATGCCTTGATTTCGATTGTCCGGAGTTCTAATTCATATATTTTCAACCGGTAAGTAGTCAGTAATCAAAAATTAGCGCATTTTTGATGTCCTTTTGTTAATATCCGACCCAGAGCCATCACCTACATTTTCGTCCATTCCTAAGAATAAGGTAAGGAAACCATCTGGTCCTAGGCTGCAAGAAGGGTTCGGCGACTGAAGACGTTTTAGAATGTCATTTATGTTGAGACTAAGGAAGCACGTTTCATTAACACTTGTGACTTTAGGGAGCTTGGTGTTTGTGGGAGTATGTATGAAAGAATTGTTTACAGTACACACATCAAGTGAATGGAGAATACTGTTCGTCTGCTTACCAGCAGTAATTTCTTTCAAAAGTTACCGTATATAAAAGGTAATTTTGCAGGATATAAACTTCTGGTTATAAATTGAATTCAAACTGTGCATTTCAGACTTGATTAGGTTGTTAATTCCTTTCGAACTAATGTTATCCTTCGTTTTATATAACTTTCCCTTTTCTCTGTAAAACTCTTCAAGATGAGGGGAGAAGAAATTGTCAAATCTGATGAAAAGCATTTCTCTGGCACAAAGGTGTCAAGACAAAATTTGAGATAAATATATTGTTTGAGATGGTGTCATCAAGACAGTCTTCATTAAACAAGTCCCACCTTATGTCTCTGAGCATGCTTCTAAGAATCTGAGCATTCTCATTGGAGTGACGCCTATTTAGCATTTTCTTGGACAGGTGTGAAAAGGATCTCTTGTGTAATTTTCGACAAATCTTGCGTAAAACTCTAACAATACAATGATCGGAGTTGAACGTGAGGCTCTTTTATGAGCTTCTTATATTCTGCGATCATTTATAAAAACAGGATCAAGAGAAGTATCCGGTCGGGTGGGAAAATTAACGACATTTTCATGACCTAGCGCTGTACGAAAACTGCAGTCACAAAAATTAAAATTGCCTGTCACTATGGATAATGAATTACCAGAAGAGGTGGCAGCGAAAACAGTGAATTCATAAGCACACATAGATAGTTTTGAAGTACTACAACAAGGAGTGATGTAGGTGTTCGCGATAAAGACGAAGTTGAACTTAGACAGGTGTTTAGGTCGACATTTAACGGTTATGCAGTCAATATTATCATTTGGGAATTTAAAGCTGACGTTTTTGCATAATGCCACTAAGAGTTGATAAAATTACCAACGCCACCACCTCGCTTCTTCCTTGAACTACTTCTGTCTGGTTTGTACACAGTGAAACCATTTAGGGAGATTAAATTGTCATCATATGAATCGAGGAGCGAAGCGTCTTGAAGAGTTAATACACCTGTATTACGATGAATATCTGGACATAATAGAGCATGCAAGTAATTAATCTTGTTTGATGATAACCTACAATTTGCGCTCATAATCACGGGAGCAGCCATCTGATACCCTGGAGTACACTTTAAGGATCGTTGCCACCCACCATGATACTTTCTCTTAAGTTTGTTAGAAACCGGTAAATCATCCGGTTGAAAATTTAAAATTATTGCGGGAGTAAAGAATACGATTTGCACATATAAATGAATAATTAAATTAAATAAATCCAAACAATCATATGCAACATAAATGACGGAAAATTTTGGTGGCCCAAGGCTTAAGCAGGCCGCCAGTGGTGCAGCAAACTTACGCGGATGAAGGATATAGTGCCACCGATAATATGTACCCCAGAAAACAATTTTTGAAGCAAGATTTCATTTAAAAAACATACATAAATATAGCCTGGCACTGAACCACCACAGCAGCGGACTACAGCGCTACAGTTAGCGAGGATATGCAATAGAGCTACTCACCATAGTCCCATATTCTACATAACCCACGCGTTATGATTCTCAGAGATATTCCCGAGGCTTAAAATTGTTTTTCTTCTACGGTGTGGATGCGAACTTGATGCAGTATATTCCACTCCAAGGAGAAACCGGCCATGCCCTTATTACCTTCAAGTTCGCTGGTGCATCTCTAGACAAAACCTATTTTGTCCAAAAGTGCAAAAGCTGGCTTAAATTCCATTATTCCCGTGACCGAATAAGACAACGGGATTATTAACCAGTGGGATCATTTACGAAACAGAGTGGAACCAATGCAAGCGATTGTTTTAAGCTCAGTTCCCTTGTTTGCAGCTGAATTAACACGCCAACTACATTGGTTAAATCTAGAGATCTGTTGTCTACTTGCGCGACTGCAATAATCATTGCAACAGTAAGTCAGTCATGAATGGAATCCAAAACCAGACTGGCTATTAATAAGATAAAACTATTTTCATGTATGAACCTCGAGGAGAACTAGTTTCATTGATTCTGCAACGTGATAACTGACACGCGCACAGTAGAGGAGAACAAAGCCATAACGGACACAATAGCGCATCACTAGGCAGGTTTTCATGCAGTAGTCACCAACACACATTACCAGCTGTGATTGTGCCCCAGGAAAACGAAATAAATTCTGTCCACGTATTTTATGCTTAGGACTTTCCAAAGATTTGACGGGTTACATAGCTTGCTCAGTGACCAATATTTTCAGGCCATTCCCCTAACAAGGATTATAACAACTTGATTTGTGGGACGCGGATAGTAACTATAGGCCTATTCGTCTTCACAGCACCTTCACTAAGGTACTGATGAGAAAAGTCAGGAAAAATGTCCGAACACATCTGGAAAACAACACCTTGTTGTTGAAGATACAGCATGATTTGCTCGGAAACCTGTTTCGCCTTACAGGCCATTCCACAGCAATGGAAAGCTAGGTCAAGCTCAGGGTGACGAGGAAAATAAAAAAGTCCTAACGCTTTCCATCAGGGCGAATAATCCCATGCAGATTCCTCGTGAAGATGGGAAGTTTCGGAATCATGGACGGACGTAAGACATACAAGGAACATACTACAGCTTATACTTACGGAGACTCAGGTTTCAGGGTAACTGACGACTGAGGGACTGAGTCACAGATATAGGTTGTGGCTTTAGATAACACTAGGGAATACGTGGGGCCTTTACTAGAATCACCAGTGATATCTTCACGACTTCAGATACATTTCCGGTAAAGCGACAGCTAGGAACTCAATCAGAGCAGTCTGCTGTTATGCAGATAGAGAACACAGACTGTTGAAAATTGTTCAAAAAACGGTCGCATGCGATTATTGGTGGTACTGGTTTGTCATTTGAGGGACAGCTTAACAGATTGAATCACTTCTCCTCATGACAGAGTGGGGAGATTTTAAGAAATGGTTATGGATATGATTTGTCTTATCATTCAATTCGTCTCAGAGGATCTAGTGTGAGAGCATCAAAGCCAGGGACAAAGCTTGTAACTATTTACCCCAAGTTGTGTTTGCGCCACCAGTTTAGTCAGCCAAATAGAATATAGAAAGCATAAATACCTTTTACAAAGGGATAAGCGTACTATCTAAGCCTAAAAAGTGTGAATCTGACGTGTTCCTGTATGTGAGACTTTGTTTAGTGGAGGTGACCTTCAGAGTTTAAATTTCAATTGTGATTGCGCTTAACCTCTGACAAGCTGTGATGCCCTCGAAAAATAGCCGCGAGTCGGAAGAAAGTGGAGGTGAAGATGAGTTCCAGGTGGAAAAAATCCTGAAAGTTCGTATCAGAAATGGACGGAAGGAGTATTTCTTAAAATGGAAAGGCTATTCGGAAGAAGACAACACATGGGAGCCAGAAGAGAATTTGGATTGTCCTGATCTAATTAAGGTAAATATGAAGGGAACTTATTTTAATTACCATAACAGTAACTTGACACAATATGCTGTTAGTTTTCATGTCATAGTATTTATATATTTCGACCTGTATTTAATGTTGTAGTTAGTCATGGATTTGGATTGTCTTTGTCTTAATGCGCTTTATTGTAACGATGAATTATCGTGATATGGACAGCTGAAGTGGTTGCCATATTGTTTAGCGACGCTGTCTAAATATGCTTATTCAGTATCTCATCCGTGTCATCTCAACACATTCTACAACATTATACTCTAAACCGACGCGGTACTCATTGCTAAATACTTTACATTACAGGAATTCGAAGAGCGACGGTCTCGTGAGAAGACAGTGGCCAGTCCAGCGAGGACTAGTACGGGTGCAGAATCGAGAGCGCGAAATAGATCTAAGGGTTCGTCACTTAGTTCTGATACCTCTAAAGACCAAACAGAGGAAGCTCCAGAGCCTGCCAAAAAGAAACGCACATCTAACCTACCTGCAGCTACGGAGGAGCCAGTTACTGAGATCGTAAGTGTTCCAGAAAAAGCAAAAGAAGTAGAAGAAGAGGACACAAAGGTAAGTCTAAACTTTTTCGGACACTTCCTGATGTGAATTTATAATTCATAACAAGCACTAAAACAGGGTTAGTTGAATTCATCAGGTTTCGGTATAACTTTTCATCTGAATACTCGGTATACAGGGTATAAACAGTTAGAATTTTGTTGGAAGGTAAATACTGTTAAGTATATCACGTTTAATCATCTATGCAAAACAGCAAGTGCGAATGCTTCTCAGGTCATGTCCGCATAAATCAGGGGTACAGAATTCGAGAGGATAAAATTAAGATGATGCATCACGAATCAGTGACGTTACTTCTAGCACGGCTTCTTGATGCATAAATGTAGTGTGGTATAGGTGTCCTGGGTATTTACCTTTGAGTGGCAGTAGGTTTGCACGCCTAAATCGTCATATCAGAATAGTAATCGTGTTAATGATCTTACATTTCTCGTTGCAGGCTGATACACCAAAATCATCTGGGAAGGTTCGTGGGTTCGCTCGTGGATTAAAGGCTGAAAGAATAATTGGCGCGACTGATTCCAGTGGAGAATTGATGTTTTTAATGAAATGGTATGTTCCCCAAAGAGTTTTGAGTGATAAGTTTTACTTCCATTAGCTCACAGTGTTACTGGTGTCTAACGTGGCTGTTTTTCTGTGTTTTTTTTTTTAACAGGAAAGATTCCGATGAGGCTGATTTGGTCCCTGCCCGTGAAGCTAATATCAAATGTCCTCAAGTTGTTATTCGCTTCTACGAAGAAAGATTGACCTGGCACACACCTGAAAACCGTTCGGGAGCCCAGCGTTCTGGTCCAACAACAGGCACAAATACTGCTGCGACGCGTTCATAACTTTATCACTTTAGACTGCATTTACTCCTGATGTCACTTTTCTTACTCCTTGATATTACTATGCATTTCTGTAAAGATGCCATCCTTATTATATAATATTATATCAGATGTCCGTACTCCCATTAAACGTTTGTTCTTCCATGATAGGTTGACTGGTGAGTTTCGATCGGTGAGAAAAGACTAGATTACAGTTTTACATCTCTTCTGAAACTTGCGTTCACAAAATAGTGGTCGTAATCTTTCGCTGATGTGTTTGTAGTTCCTTATTTTCCCTCAATCATCCTACCACAGTAGTTAGTTGAATAGTATATAATTTCAAAAATTTGGGTAGTTCTCGCAGGTTTAGTGTGAAGTCGTTCAAACTTATGAAGTGTTACATTAATGCCAATGGGGCATGTGTCTTCAACTCAGCAGCTGAGTTGTTTGTGGCTCGAAGTGTCTGGATACGAAATGGATCGTGTTGAGTTTTGAATACCATTGTCGAGGTGTGTTTATGTTTTACTGGGATGCCTGGCTTTTTGTTGCTTGCATGTGTCGTTTGGCAGATTTGTTTGTTCTTTACTATGTTAAGTAGGGAAGCTCTTATGGGAGTGTGAGCAGCTGTTACTTCCTGCTGCCCAATCCATGGAAGTTTATGTCCTTGGATTGCCTGGAACAGAGGGTGCATTAGTATTAGAGGCTGATCTCACGGCCTGTTGGAATTGGTATTTGAAGTTTTATCTGTATGAAGTTTGCCGCCACAAGGTAAGTTAAAATGCACATTTTTCGCGGTCGATCTTTTCTAACTCCCCCTTCACTAGAACGGAGAAGCAGCATAGCTGGCTTGCTGGTCACCTAGGGGAAACGTCTTACAGTTGTTACATCTCTTCGCCAGCAGTACGACTAAACCCACAGGCCTTCAGCATAGTGTAGACGACTGGCACTCTTATTATTGCCTAAAGCTTTAGCACTATCCAAACGACTTTTCTGATATGATAACACCTGCAACCTTGCTGGTTCCCGTGTCTTTAGGATATTCAAACTCAACCATCACATCAAGGTAGTAACTGTTAGAGTCAGGAGGCTTCCACTTACTGTTTGTGTCTCGTAAGAGTGGTTTTCATATTCATTTAGGTGAACTTCTAGTCTCTACTGCATATTGGAACGGAGTCGCAGCATTAACTTACTTTGCTCTGTACGAACTTAATGGGCACTTGAATGTGCCAATAAGCCTGTTACAGCGCGTTATGATGGGACTCAACCGTCGTTTGTATATTTTACGCAGTATTCTTCAGGTCTATGTTAAATGTTGTCTTTCCTTTCTTAATGCTTGTCACAGCAGGTCGTACCCTTGCAAGACTGTAATTTGAACAGGAAACTCACGGGCTTTGTAAGTTTGTATTGTTCTCGTATTCTGCAGATGTACCATTACTACATTGGCAATCTCATCTATTCTTGGATTATCACGTTATTTACTACTGTTCACTGGGTCACAGCCGTCCGAAATTGTGTGAGATTGTACACCTCAACTGGTGTCATTGATAGGCGTTCGAATTTAGTATGGTGTGATTAGTTGATATTCACAGGTTGGTTGGGAACTTAATTCCCACGTCTGATATATTCGGTGTAGAGATTGTGTGATCCTCCCGTAGTTTCTGTTATAAATAGCTCGGTTTCGAAACATGAGGATGACCAGTTTATGATTCGCATCACTATTCATTTCTGAATGACTAAGTGGTAAGAGGATATCTGTGTTACTATGGGACAGTCACTGATCACAACAACGTACGTGCGGTTCTATTCTTAGACACAGTGGAAGGTTTTCTGAATGACTTAAGACACGAAAAAGGTATATTTGACGCCATATTGCAAACTCAAAGATTTGTTAGTAAGGCACCTGGAAAAACTAACAGCTGGTGGAGTCAAACATTACAGATTTATGAGTTCGGAAGAGTCATTTCGCTAGTGAATTATCTACTTGATCGTGAGTCAAAGTTGGTTAGTAAATCTAAAGGAATGTGATATGTGTTGCAGCGTTGAGTTTTCATGATACAGAGTATCGCATCTAGGCTAATACTGACCAAGTGTACTGCAGTTAGTGCGTGACATCCGGCTGTCAACCAAGGGACGTGTATACTGCTCAGCAGTTCGCTCCGTCCTTCTCTATGGCGGTGAGACGTGGTCATTGAGAGCGGAAGACATGAAGAGATTGTCTGTTTTTGACCACAGATGTTTACGATCTCTTTCTCACGTTAGGTGGTATAATAAGGTAAGTAATGTTGACGTTAGGCGTAGAGTGTTGGTTGAGCAAAGAGGGAAAATCAATCGAAGAGGCTATGAAGTTACATAGATTGAGATGGTTAGGTCACGTGCTGCGCATGCCTAACCATCGCCTCCCCCACCTCGATGGGCATTACTAGCTGATATAGGTGTTGTGGGTTGGAAAAGAGTAAGTGGTGGCCAAACAAAAACATGGCCTCTTCAATCCTTGACAGTTAAACTGAGTCAAGTAGGGAGGGAGATGCAGACTTCCGGGTTGGGGCCGGTCCTCGGGACTCTAAGAATCAATGGCTGGAGACAATAGGTGACATGGCTCAAAATCGTTGTCAATGGCTTACGCAGATGTATTCAGTCTGTTTAACCTTCATATTCCTTTCTACCATTACTCATTCTGTTTCACCCTTATACTTATCTAAATTCTATTGATTCTCTTCTCTCATTTTCTTGTCTACCTTTGTGTGCTCTTTGGAACGTGGCAACTCGAACTGCTGCACTTCGGTGCCAAGTTCTCTGTTGAATCCAGCAGCAGTTAGTGCGTAGCTGTAATCAAGTCGGACTAGTCTTGGTCGACATGAGACGTTTCTCGTATTGGTTCTAACATGGCAACCACAGTTTATTTGGAATACAACTAGCTCTTAATTCCCGTTTAGACTGGTATTTTCAACCTTTTATCCGCACTCCACAACACGATATAAGCTCTTGTGAATATGTTGTATTATCTTGCATTGCGCGACAACACAATCTCAGTGAGATGTTGTGTTTTTGACTTAAGCGTTTGACTCTTAGCCACTACTGGACGTGAATTCCTCTGCACCCAATGGAACCTAGTCAACCGCTGTGTACAGGAAAGAATGAGGCTCATAGTTTAGTATAGGTACAAAATGTTTTGAATAGTTGATTGGAGGCAATGTGCACGATTACCAGACAATTAATTGTCATCCTCCTACTTGTTAGTTTAACCCAGACCAGTTTGTATAAACTTCTTACTTTCAATGGCTATAGTGAACCTCTTAGTTTCTGAGGGTGGTTTTTACATTGTGGTAATCATGCATTGTTTTCTTTCGATGAATGTTTTGTAGCTTCGAATAAGCATTCTGTATATATTATATGCTACTCAGTTGAGTAGGCATTTTTGTTTTCTAAACAGATCATCGATTAGTTTGCTTGAAATTAGTCATCAGGCAATTGGCTACACTTCCTTTGTGAAAGTTGATGATGACAACCTTGCTCAAGTAAGTGGAATGAGACTCAAACCTGGTGCTCAGCATGTGTAAATAAAGTCTTGAAAATAAATTAGTTCCAGTGGATATACACTGAACCCCCCCCCGTTCTTCAAATCACATATCACTCAACAGGCTCTCGAGTTGGACCCAAACAGGAGTCGTCTGATTGTCGGTCAGAAAGTGACTTGGTTGAGATCACACGAAAAGCAGATGAAACCTTTTGGTTAGCTTGTTGATTATATCATCGCAGAGAATCGAGTGTAGTGGAGATGTACTGTTGAAGCCCTATGTCCTACTCAGAATGCAAGAAATCAATAAACATTATCATGAATTATAGATAAAACGAAAGAGCTGATTAATTCTGATGTCATCTAAAGTTTTTAGGGCCAAGTTAAACTTTAAGCACCACTAACTACCAATGGAGTCTCGGGAAATCAGTCGACGAGACTGTGAAATTACATCGACTCAGATGGTTAGGACATGTGCTACGTATGCCTAGTCATCGCCTTCCTCGACAATGGGCAATGTTAGCTGATCTAGGGCCAGGATGGAAAAGAGCTAGCGGCGGTCAAACCAAAACATGGCACCAGTCAATGAAATCCACAACAGTTAGTCTAAGCCACGTAGGAAGATGTAGACTCCCTGGTTGGGGTCCTCGGGACGGTAAAAACCAATGGTTGGAAACAATTGGTGACATGGCTCAAAATCGTTCTCAATGGCTAGCGCAGATGCATCCACTCCTTGTGACTTATGATTTCCAATGAAACTATATTGTTCTTCGTTATTACTATACCTTTGTCTCACCTCTGTTTACTGTCTTTATTATGCATTTCTTCTCCTGCTTTGTGTGCTACATGGAGTGTGGCGACTGCCTCACATATGTGCAAAGTTCTATGTCGAGAACCGACCGGAGTTCGACCGCACTAATGAACTTGTAACGCCAACTGGCAAATAATGCTGTCATCAATAAAATATGCTCATCGAAGTGTTATGCCATTAAGTCGGATATCTCGCAAGTTGCAGCTTAGGTTTGGAAACGAACAATTTACCTTTTAAGCCAAGGACAAGTTAGGGGTAGGTTAAATTAATAAAGGCGACATTATTAGAGTTGGTTCGAGTTAGATTACAGTTAGTTTATGGATATGTTCACGTTAGAGTTAGGTGCAGGAAAGATTACGGTTATTGTTAGGCTTAGAAGACCTAAATAACTGCATGCATAGAATATGGTTAAATTAATGTGTTGGTATAAGAACAGAACTTGTGCACTGTGGTAGAGTATAATTCTATTGTAGGTGGTGCTTAAAGTTTAATTTTGGCATTTTTAGCGTGTCTATGCCTTGGTAATTAGGTTTCGGTTGTTTTACGGAACTTGGGGATTAATGGTGGCTTACTATATTTTTAACGGGACGATAATTTGTTACTAGTCTATCTATTTATCTATCTATCTAAGTGTGCTGTAATTTTCTCCTTTCTGTAATGTTATAACTAAGTCACCATTGAATAGATTTCTCATGTATCAGGTGGGTAGTCAGGTTTGGTGTTTATGTGTTTCATGTGTAGTGTTCCCACTACAAAGTTGGCTACGATGAAGTAGGTGGATTTCATCGTACAATCAATTTCGTATCAACTGCAACTCACTTCTTCG